AGAGAGAGAGAGAGAGAGAGAGAGAGAGAGAGAGAGAGAGAGAGAGAGAATGACCAAAGGGTCCCTTTCCTTTTTTTTTTATTTTTATTTGAGGCCCCTGCAGGTAACTCCAATGGCATTGAGGGCCAATGCTTCCACGAGCAGGATGGCGTCGTCACATGTGGACGAGGAGGGAGCACCACGAATATATGCTGTGGGTTCGAGTTCAGAGCTGTAGCTCGGCAGTTATGGGTCACCAATTCAGCTTAGACCCTGTTCGTGTCTCCACGTGATTCTCTGCGCCTCCCTCCACCACTCACCAAATGTATAACCTTAGAATGAATCTTCTGGTAGAACACGGAACCGCCATATGCTATGTCTTTTGTGTATGTGGTGAGTAGTGGAGTGAGGCCACTTCGGCCACTGTACGTGTTCATAAGAAAACAAAAACAAAAAAACGAGAGAGCTACGGGCATCTTCATTTGAATGAATCTTCTGCTAAAACACGGAACCATACACCACCGTATGCTGTCTTTTATCCATGTGGTGAGTAGTGGAGGCCCCTTGGGCCACTGTACGTGTTCATAAGAAAACAAAAAACAAAAAACGAGAGGGCTACAGGCATCTTCATCCTGACCCATAACTGGCGACGTGCAGAACTGAATGCCAATCTTCACGACATATAGGTGGTCGGCAGCCCTTTTTCAACACAACTGCTGGCTGCGACGTTGCGGAGTGGGGCACGTCGGCACTAGGCTCTTCTCTCTTCTTGCAAATTTCTTCCACTACTGTGGGGTATTTTCAGAAGGGAGGGGGTTAGGCCTGTTTTCACAAGCCACCAGAAAAAGAAAGAGGAATGAAGTTATGAGCCCTATTTTCATGATTCGCCATTTCGGACTGCAGATTTGGAACATCAGATCGAATTGAGAAGGTCAAATTGAAAGGTCGAGAAAAAATTCGCGGGCCTTGGCGCGGCCCAAAAAATTTTTTTCGCGCGCCCGGTTCCAATTTTCCCCACCCCCCCCCGAACTCCTGGAACCCGACCCGCAATTTTTTTTTTTTCTGGTACCCTGCAATTTCGACCATGCGCCGCGCGTCGTGCGGACGCCGCTTGCGCGCTGCGGCCTGCGCCGCACGTGCGCAAGTGCCGCGCACGACGTGCGCCGCAAGTATGCTTATAAGTGAAGACTTGAAAACGTATAGCACACTGATAACAGGGAGATGTCAAAGAAAGCTTGCATGGTTGGGGAAACAGGGGAGAGGAGAGATCCGGGGCAGGAAAAAGCGGGGGGCATACGTTGCAAGGAAAATGAGCAATAGCGAGATGACAGAAATCCAGAATGCAACGCTGTCCAACGCTGTCCAGAATGCAGAAATGCGCTGATATTATACCCACGGAGAACCAAATCCGAATGTCAATGAGAGCATACTTTCGCCACCACCAACATACGTATCCAGAGCCCTTCTTCCTTACTTGGCGCTCAGCGCCCAGACTACATTCACACAGCTACTACCAGCCGACAAATTGACAATGCAACCTGTTGACATCAGCAGCAACAACCGAAGTACATGAAGACGTCGGCCCATGCAGACTATCACCAAGACCAGGTATGTGTCCTCACGTCATCATCCTCATCTCTCTCACTCTCTCCTTCTTCCTTGTCTCTCACCCACGTCTTCTTCCCCATGCACGAAGACCACCACCACCTCCACTGGCTGTCGGAGCCAAGCCCTGGCTATGTAGGGCTGGCTATGACGCTGCCCTCAGCAGCGCCCATGCGCACTGCCTGGCAACTAGCGCTAGCGCACAGCGCACAGCCCGCAAGCGCACGCTCGAGCAGCGCTGCGCCATGCACTGCCTAGTGCCCGAATGAGCCCACCAGTGGCGAGCTCTTTCCTTTATGGAAAGTGCTCGCCCAGTTTGCTGTCTGGCTGGGCCTCGTGTGTTTCCAGTAGATTCCGATCACACACATGGTTAACCAGGGGTGTTATTTTCGACGAATTTTGCACCGAATTGCACTGAAACTGTCATATTGTGCTGATTTTTTGCTTCACACGTGAGCCAAATTGTCTGCGCACAGGCCAATTCAGACAGTGGCCTGGGACCAAATTGGTTAGGCATGCCCAACCACCCGAGAGCAAACGCGAGGTTCTCCCTGCTTCGCCTGTGCTGCTGGAAGGCCAGTCTTGCTATTTGCTCTAATGCTAGAGATTCCCATGGAAGGTTGGGTGTGCAGATTAATCGTTTTAGCCACTGCAGGGCCAGGAAAGCTGCCTGAGTGTCTGGGTCGAGATTCCCCACGCCGCCGTGGGCCTTAGGTTGAACGATTGCCTCCCATGCGACCCTACTCATCACATTCTGTGTTTCATAATTGCCTCGCCACAGGAATGCGGCAACCCGTTGTCTAAGCAATCTCGAAGATTCCCGGGACAGGGGCCAAAGAGCCGACTTATACCAAAGAGACGCAAGCGCCACGTTGTTAATAACAAGACCAAAGAGTGAAGTGTGTTTGTCTGTCCATGAGGCCAACTTTTGGAGCGTCGGGTCCATTATCCATTTATCATTGCTCTCAAGTTTTCTTGCGGCCGACAATTGGATCCCCAGGACCCGGATCGGGGCCTCCAGCGGGCGCCAGGTGACCCCGGGCCGCTCTGGGGGTCTGCCGCCGTTATGGTGCATCCACCACCCCTGTGTTATGATTCTGGTTGTTCGTTGCCTGAAAGCCAACACTCACTCACATAAACTTCTGCACATG